TGCCGTGTGACGCAGTTGAGCGCTTTCCTCAATATGTGTCCTATCCACTTCCAGCGCTTCTTCCTGATTTCTTCCTCCGCTGGAATCTGGTTTGATGCTGACAGTGTCTGGCCAACGGATCCGAAGTATTTTTCGTATTGATGCCTCTGTCGTTTTCACACTTGCTGGGATCTCCCTTCTTTGGTGTCTTGGTCAAGTGTCCTTCTTTTCAGTCTGTTGGTACTTGTTCTTAATCCAAAATCTTGATGAAGAGAATGTAAAGTATCTTTGCAGTTACTGCTATGTCTGCTTTCAGTGCCTCTGCTGATATGTTGTCTGGTTCCTCTGCTTTGTCGCTATAGATTTGTCTTATGGCCATGCTAATCCCTTTAATTGTTGCTGGTTTGTAATAATTTGTAGCGAGCTTCTTTGTTGTATTATACAGTTATCTCATGTTTCCTTATCTTGCAACCTGTTCCGCTGTCATTGCCAGATCTTCCACACATTGACGTTTGTCGGTTCTGATGCTCCACTTCACTTGCTTGTTTACTTCTGTATATTCAGCTTGTGCCTTGGCTTTTTCTGTTCTTGTTCGGTTGCTGTTGATTGCTGTTTTTTGTTCTTTCTTTTTTGAATCTTATCCAATGTATCAACAGTGATCCATTCCTTACTGAGCTAATAATATCCAAGGCAGTTATCACAGGTTGAGTTAGTAATGAAACATTATTCCAAAATGGAAGGCTGAAAAATTTCAATTGTTACATAATCATATCGGCTTAAAAATGTTCAATAATGTAAAAGTAAATTTTCAGCTTAACTACTGATTTTGGTCATAATTGAGCACAATATCATAATAAATAAAACATTTATACTTGAAAATTTAATGGTATGTTTTAACATAATGTTTAGAGGTTAATAGTAAGTGTACTTTTTAGTAGTATTGTGTACATAACAACTATGTACATAAAAAAATCTAGCAAGTTTTTAACCTAGAGAAACATTATGATACAAATAAGTCAGTATTGGTCTCAGTTATTGATGACATTGTAATTAGTTTATTCATGAGACGTTATAAATGTTATTGATTCCGTTGTTATTTAGTTTAATAATGATTCTTATTCCTGAATATCCATTTCAATATCTTTTTTCTGGTCCAGTCTTTTTTATTTATTTTGAAAATCGAATCAAAAGTTAATGTTTAAAATTTCCGTAAGTTAAAAAAATCCCTGTTTAGTATTTGTAATCTACAGTTTTAACTGTGTTTACACTCTTTAAGTTTCCTTTGAAATATCATGTTATCAGATTTGCCATATTCATCTGTAATGATTTTTTCGATGATTTTCAAAAATCATTTTAATATATAACACCGTGATTTTTTACTTAAAATTAATTATTGTGAAAGATTTCTCTATGTTGGCTGTACGTCCCGTTTGTTTTGAATGAGCTATAATGGAACTGTTAACAGTTTTAACTACACCTTTGCTTAACCACACTGGGAGGTACTCATGAGCCTGAATACATAAATTCCTAGAACATTTGCTAATATAACTTTCTCTACAGGAGATGTTGAATTGATAGATACGGAAAGAAGTGGCTAGTCTAAGCTATTTATCTTTCAACCTCGGAGTGATCATTGGACGTGTGGGGAACATTAATTGTAATTCACCTGTATTAAAAGTCCTTTGGATTGATTTGCGTAACTTTAGTATTAGCATTTCACAAGGTGCATCACCTCTGAATTGTAAGCGTATATACAGGGGCTTTTTGTTCGCGGTTAGGCATTCCTTATGCTTTATTTCATTGGTTATACGTTTATTTATAAATTTCTCCGGATACCTGTTTTCTTTCAGGGTCGTGCACCATACCTTTGTTTCGTCTTTAACCGCATCTAGAGAGCATGTGGTCTTGATTCTATGGTGAAGTATTCCTTCTGTATTGCCGAAGAACAAAACTAGGAAATTTTGTATATTGGCTCGTTCAGGTAGTTTTCTTGTTTATGTTTCTTCTTACTGACCCATCTTCTCTCCTTCTGAGTAGAACGTCTAGAAAGGCTATTCTACCCCTATTTTCTTCCTCACATGTGAATTTTATGGACAGATGAACTGCATTGAATCGCTCAAGTGTTTCTATCAAGCCAGCATGGTCGTTACAAAGGATAGACGTATCGTTAGTAAACTGAAAACTTGTCAGTCTGTCATGCCGGTGGGCCGTTTTCTGGTTTAGAGAGAAAACCTTCAGCCAATATGGCACCTAGAAGTGAACCCATCGCGACACCATCTATTTGTCTATACATTTCACCATTGAATTTGAAATGTACTTTCATAGTACATTGTAGTAATAATTCTTTGATGATCTCCAGAGAGATTGTTGTCTCTATTTCTTGTTCTCTAAGTTGTTTACAACTATATTCCACAGTCTCTGAGTGGGATATTTGTGAACAATGACGTTATGTCAACGAGCATCACCGTTAGACCTTTAGTGTTTATGTTTTTGATTTTGTCGACGAACTGGAATAGGTCCTTAATACTATACTTCACTAGGTGTTTGTAGAGTGGTTTTAAAATGGTTACTAACCACTTTGCTATACTATCATAAGAGGAATCGTAGCAAAAGCTCATCGTATCTAGACCAGCCACTTCTTTCTGTATCTATCAATTCAACATCTCCTGTTGAGCAAGTTATATTGGCCAATGTTCTAGGAATTTGTATATTCAGGCTCATGAGTACCTCCCAGTGTGGTTAAGCAAGAGTGTCGTTAAAATTGTCAACAGTTCCATTTTAGCTCATTCAATTAAAATTAATTAATGATAGCTTCATTTATTAAGTTGAATGTGTGTTTTTTGGGGGGGGGGCATGGTTAATTTAATTCGTTAAATGATGTGATTAGATTTCTCAGTACGTTATCATAAATCATTGTATACTTCAATAATTAAAAAAAGATTTAATTATTTATGCAATTGAAAATATCTTTGTTTACTGTTATAATGGTATTCGACTTGATAGATTAAGATGATAATAGTACCTTTTCCGTGATTTCAAAAAAATTAAATGATCTGTTAATTTAGCATTTTTGACATTTGAAAACAAAATAAGTAGTCAAATGGATAATCATCTTTAAGTTCATTGTCATTATCGGAGAACGAATAGCAACAAAGTTTAAAACTCCCTTGATTGGAAAACTTATAACCCTATACACTGTTGAAGTATGATACTATTGAGCCAATTAATCAACATATCAAAGTTTGATTTAGTTGTATCGTTACCAAATTGTTGTCAACAGTTATCTCCATTTTTTGATTAAACTAATTGATAATAATTTCCTAATTGAATTTTTGGTAAATGGTTAGAAAATCTAATTCACAGGTAGAAAACTTTATTTCTATTACATAATCTAAGCATAGTGTAATTTCGAGTAATATATATATATATATATATATATAGGAAATATGAACTTTATAGGAAACATATAGATTACACAGATAAATTATTAGATATCTAAATCAGTTTTAAGTACATTTGGTTGAGAAAAGTCCTAAAAAAATCAATGGAACTAATAAAACTAATTGTACATAAAAGCTTAATTCTCAAATCTATTTGTTTCAGTAATAGTTTAGGGTAAAGTGTTTTTATTCTCATGTATATAAGTACATTATCTATTCATACATTTTAAGGACGCATAAAATTTACAAATAAGTAAAACAGTTTTATTCATTATTATATCTTATATTTTATATGGTTACTAGCTTCATTGAGATTCCTGTTTATGGATTTCTAAAATGCGGAATAAATTTCTAGTTGTGTTATGTTCTGTAGGCTTGATTATACTTTGATTAAATCTTAATGGTGTTTTTCAGAATGACTATGGAAGTGCTGTAATCAGACCAACCTGTTCATAAAATATAATACAATTGATAGCATTCACCTAAGTTAAAAATCTTCTTTATCATATTAAATAAACATATATTCTCAGTTTCATACTCCGAAATGTGTTAAAGAGATAGAAAACACGATGTTCGTTTAATTTTATTTTCATCGTTCACTACAATAGATAATATTTATAAAAATTACTCGTTAATTCTGTACTAACATATATTGATTATTGTCCATATTTTATAACAACTTTCGTCCAATTTTAAACTAATAATCACTTACTAGTTAGACACCGACTATATAAAAGACATTTAGAAGGAAACTATATGTGCAAAAAATAAAACAATTAAAATTGAATACACTAAAGTTTTACTTTCTAGTCTGATTCCAGCTTTTTAAAGGAAATGGTCAAAAATATCATGCAGCAACGATGTACTGATTGATTATTCAGTCAAATTAGGATGTTAAATATCATTTTTAAGAGGTGAAGGTGAGTCTTTTTTTTATAGGATCACATTTGTTAAACATCTCAATGATTAAAGTTAAATGAATTCAACGTACACCTACATACATTACATCATTCATCACAATTTGATTACATCTTAAATTATTCAAAGCTTTCGACTGAACCTACATAATCTTCGATTTATTGATTATTTAAATTGAATGATTGATATAAACGGTACTTTGATGTTGATGGCAAGTTTTCTCAAATACACACAAAATATATTTGTTTCATGCACATAGTTCCCTTTATTATCTTAAAGAGAGCAAGAACAAAGATTGGTGCAGAATAATACGAATTCATTTTATTTAGTTAGGTTCTCATCAACTGCTTACAACCTAAGATATTTAGAATTCAACATTATTACAGATATTGACGTACTTATACATAAGAGGATGAATAAATGTATCATGATGTAGCGAAGATTCCGATAGGGTTAATGAGGTCATTTCCATAAATCAACTCATTGTATCATTGATAATCCATTCTAAAAACACTAAACTATACAAGTAAAGTTCGATTGTAAGTCTAAATGATCATCGGTTATACTGTGACTTAATTTATATTTTTTAAAAATTATTCATCATTGACTTATTATTTGTTTTAATGTAATGAAATATAATGTTTATTTATTTCTTTTATTTAGGCATTTGTTGAAGAGAAAACGAATGAATTGAAAATTGATGAAGAATTATACGATCGAGTTGATAATATCGAAGCAAATTCATCAAATTTTAAACAACAAGTTTTGAGAACATTTAAAGTATAACATAAAATTACCTAGTTGATTATTTGTGTGACAAATTCATTTGTTAGATGACCTTGTACGGCCGAGAGTGGGGAGAGTCCGCTCTCTCTCTCCAAATGCTCTCACATGGCCACGCGTATATAGCCTCTGCCAGTAAAGTCCTACTCACTGCCTTTTCGTGGCGGGGTTGTTGTTTATAAAATTGAGAGGACGAAAAGTGAGTGTCCTGCGCTTTAACCGGGTTGGTGGACATGGAGAGTCCATCTAGGGGAGTTGGAAAACCCTGATTCCAAACAAATGGTGCACGCGGCCTCCAGTACCCTGAGTGAACAAATGGCGTATGAATCAATAGTCGGTCACCGGCTACCATTGGACTGCATCTTCTTACGATGCTCCATTGCCTTGTGGATCAGACCTTTAGGTCGAAAGCCCTGGGTATGGCTCCCTAAGAAAACCACCTGTCTCGGTTTGGGCACCCGGGTAGTATCACAGCCCTCACACAAATCTAATGAGATTTGTGTGGCGCATATGTATCTAGTGTCTCCTTGTACCAGTATTTATGTGTTCAAATAAATAAATAGATAATACTTATTATCAAATACATCTTATGCTGAGAATAGAGTTTTCGTAAGATCGAAATAGAGTTTCATCAGTATTGTTAATTTATTTGATAGATCATTTTTACAGAATTGCTAAACAATCGTACGTTAGTTGTTAAACATTAGTCAAATATTTTTACATAATCCATTCTTAGATAAGAAGTTACTTTTTGTATCTTTTATCAGCATTTAGTTGGTCTATTTTACTAACAACAAATAGAGTTGGTCACAAAAATCAGAATAGTGACTCAGTGGTTAAGGTGTTTAATTTTCAATCATTAAGTCTTAGATTTGAAATCTACTCTTAGTTTTGACAAATGGATATAATTACTAGCTCGTACAATCAGATTGTGATATGAAGCTAAATATAATAATTTTTACCGGTTAAATAAGTAATATTTAAACATAAGAATAGTCTAAATGTTAAATAAATGTATCACAAAATGCTAAAAGTTAATTCAATGTAAAATAGTTTGTTGAAATGCAATAGAAATAATAAAATTGTTTATAAATAATGCAAAGTTCCTCGGAAAAAAAGAACACAGTTAAATGAACTCTACAATGTATGTGTTCAATCTGTTTACAGATAAACCTCAAATCTCAAATGTTAGTGATTGTCAGTAGATTTCAATGACTTGATATTGTGTCATGGAGACAAAAAACTTCCTATTCTTGTTAATATAATTAAAATATTCATTTGCCATAGTATTGGTTTTCTTTCGTTTTAATCAACTAATTTATAAGTTTATCAATGAATAATTAAAACTGGTGTTTGTTAGACACCTAGTAGATACAAAATAGTTTCTAAAACTGTCACTAACTAAAAAATTATTGTGATTTAAGTTCATTTTAAATGTTTAGAAAATATGGATGATACTTGTCTATTACTTATTTGTTTTCTTTCAATTCAGTTTTTGTCTTCACCTTATTGATTGTTTAACATTTCTTATTCATATGACAGTTAGGTAGATTCAATTTATATGATACATCATGTCTTAAACTTTCAATGTGATTATAATCGGATGTTGTTGAAACTTCCGTTTCTCTTATTCTTATATGACTATAAAGAGCATGTTTAAATAGATAGTTCAAAATTTTTTCTTTGTGGGATAGTCATTTACTTATATTATAATAATTCCATTAAACTTTAAAAGATTAAAAGCTGAGTTTATTTGATTTTCATGACAATAGAATGTGTTCATATTTATTACATTGTAATTTGTAAAACTTTGTAACAACTAATAGATACTGTAACTTTCAGCAACTTATAATGACGTATAGTCAAAGTTAAATTTTCCTATTTTACAAAGACTCTCTACAATTTATTCTACAAAGAAGTGCCAAGTTTAAAATTGTCCAATGATTTTAACCAATGAGCATTTTATAATAATTTAGCAAATAGTATTTGTTAACAATCTTTTTTTTAAAAAAAATTCTGTTTTATGACAATTATAGGAGATAGAAACTCGAATGAATAAACTTTCTGATGATTTATATGAACATCATCGTCAAACAATTGAAACAGTTCGGGAAGAAATGCGTCAAGGTTTTCATACAATGCATGATACATTAACTAGTGCAAAATCTGTATTAGAAAATAAATTACGTATATCTGAAGAAACATTACATATGGAATTAAGTCAATTAAGAAAATTAATAGTTTTAGTATAAATTGATCATTTGTTTAAATTATTAACAATGAATGATAAAGTATGATGTTCACTTCATTTCACTTAATCGGATAGAAACAGATTCTTTAAAACAAATTATCTACATTAAATGTTCCTTTTTTACACTGGAATCTTGTAGACAAATAATCTATATACTGTTTTATTATTATTGTCTATTGTATATGTGGTTATTATTGTTCTTTATAATACTACTGAAATATGTACCTTCTAATTATTATAAGTAGTATGTTTCTGTATACGTATTTTACAATGATATTGTACTCCTGTTTACTAAAAACGACTTTCTTCATTATTTGAAACTTCATTGTTTAATGAGTTATATTTACGATAAAACAATTAATCCAGTAACTGTTTCATTGAAGGATGGTAACAAGTGTCATTCATAAAGTTAAATTCTTAGAACAAGAATACATTACATAATTCTCTAGTACATTTTATTTAACTGAATTATTTCTAATTATGATTTACATAAAAGTATCATTATAAAATTCAAAATTTACGCTGTGATTACAATTAACAATTCAGATCTGGAATTCTAAGGGTTATTGATACTCCGTTCAATCACTTTTTAATCTATTCTATTTGTTATTCCAATCAAATACCTAAATCTTTAAGGAATCAGTTATTTCTGAGAAATGTTACTTTTATTATTTTGTGAAATATAAACTTTTTTTTAAATGCAGGTTATGAATGTATCTCTGTGTTAAGTACTAATTACTAAAGAAAATAGAAATATAGTTGTTTTCATTTATTTCTTACATTCATTTCCTAAGAAAAAAATTCATCTTATTAAAAGTAAAAGTGTTGTTTACAGTGAGTGAATTCTGCAGAATATTAAGTTTTTGAAGGTAGTGGTCTTATTTATTTGAACTAGTAACATTATCAATATGTAAAAACCATGTGTTTGGTAATTAATTTTTCTGTATTTCATCAGTTATCATAAACAGAATACACAAAGAAAGTACAAGTCCTAATAACAGTAATAATAAAAAGCTAAAAAGTGTTCTAATAAGTCATTTGATAAACATCGTGTAATTCAAAATATATGTAAGATCTAGTTGAAGAATTCAAATGACCTATTATGTGTTTTTACTTAAATCTGTATTAACCAGTAAGCTACTATTATACAACAAAGGTGAATATGGAACATATGAAGATTTAATATGCTATAGTCTTCTGACGGTTATTGTTACAACTAACGTATTTATATTATTCCAGAAGGCCGATTGTGTCGTACTCAACGATTTGAGTAAACATCTGATTGATAGTGTTTTCCATTTGTGTATTAGCATAATGTTCGTTCTGTTTTCAAGTCATTCAACTATTTCCTGCCTAATAGTTGTACAATTTAATAGATTGTCTGTAGACAATACTACTCTTATCTAAAATCAATGCACAGGAATTTAAGAAACGCTTATAAGTGCATCAATATATGTGACTGTTACTTACTATCTGTACAATGCTGGGTATTTTGTTCTTCATTAATCCTAAATCTTACTGGACAACTCGAAAATAACTTCATAGAGTACCATCAGGTAAGCATGGTAAACTTGTTTTTATTAATTCATTTTTTTTACTATGTTCATCTCATTTTGGAAACGAGAATTAAACACTTTCGTATTGATTGTAATTGTCAACGTGCATTAATTAATTTCGCTTATATTTCTTTTTTCTCGCATTCACTAAACTCAGTGCTGTTATTTTTTAGTTCTAAATTAATACTACGTTTACTATTGTACTTTATGCTCACTTTTTCCTCCCCTAAAAATATATACGTATCCATATCATTTTAGGGATTTTAACACTATTTTACATAAACCATATTTTATTAAATGTTTTGTCTAAAAAGGATTTCTTTTAACAAAATAATCAAATGATATTCGGATGAAAATGAGTTCATCAATCTTTATGAATTTCTATTAGTCAAAAAAGAATTATTTGTGTATTGTACGAACAAGATATACTGAATGTGAAAAACTGAATAACTGGTAACGATGTGTACACCGTCACAATTCCCTTTACTAGTCTCAAATCAGTTTATCACTGAAACGCCGGTTCATAATAACACATACCACTTTGTATAAGTCAGATGAAACACCTGGAATCAAATTTATTTAATCAATAAAAACAAAACATCCTATTAAGCCAAGTTAATTTAACAATACAATTTTATTATGAGTCGATTGAAGCTAGACCACCATGGAAAACCTGGGAGCACTGAACTGCCGTTTCGTCTTGGTATGGAACTCCTCAGCAGTGCGCATCTAGCTTCAATTGACTCATGAATTCAACCTGTGAAATTTTTAAAAATCTCCACAAAACCCATTCTGATAACAATTTTATTACACCAAAAAACAAAAGAGATCAGAATTGATTTATGATTCACTAAATAGGATTTATCACTAATTGATCGATTAGTTGATCAATTTACTAAATGTCATGAACTTAAACTATAGCGATCAGTTAATATCTACTATAAAGTCATATTTTTAATCCGATCTATCATATACATTGTCAAGATTTTCTGATTTATCAGATAAATTATTATTTAATAAATGAACAACATTCGAATGAAATAAATCATACAAACGTATCTATCTTAATATATATTATTGTATTGATAAACTGTCAATTAAAAATTAACCAAATAAATATATGTCACTCTAGTACAATCTTATGTTGAAATAAATGTTTGTTCTTGTTTTTTTTCTTCCTTTTTTTGTTTATTTTTGAGAAAATAGATAAATACTCATGCTGACAATATACAATAAACAGAAACATAGTGATAGGAATAACTGGAAGAAAATAAAAACGACAACATTAACTCAAATGTTAAAACAGACAAAACAATCACAGATAATTATCCACACACACACAAAAATAAAGTTAAAAACAAAAAACAAACAAGAAATTGTATAACAAATCACAGTTGACACACACACACATATACACATTAATTTGTATGACATTCATTACTTCTATTATTGTAAAAGACGGCAACAACTATTTATTTATGGTTCAATTTGTTGATTTAAATATGGATTTTCAAAATTATCAAAAAAGTCATTTATGTCCGGATTCATAAATTCAAAATCTGGAAAGAATGAATTATCAAGTAGTTTTTTATCTGAAAATGAAAACAAAAAAATGTATTATAGAAGAATTACGATATTTGTAGGTGAGAACTAATTCACTTATATTTTAGCAGTAAATTGAAATCCATGTATGAACTGGTGGTTTGAAAGTGTTCCGGCATAAAAAACAAATGGTAGTTATATCTGTAAAATATTTATTTCCCCCACAAATTTACAGCTTGTGCTGTAGAAGCTTCGATTTAATCATACTTTACTACATTCGATAACAAAATATGGTAAAATGATCTATATATATATATATCGAATATTAGTAATAAGTAAATCTTTTGAGTAGAAAAATTGTATTTCTGACGTTTCGTGACTTAATGTAGGCCACTTCTTCAGAGTAAGTAAATAAAAGAACTAAATTAACACAAGTTCAAATAGTTTAAATTGTACTATCTAAATTTGCGTTAATTTAATTCTTTTATTTACTTACTCTAAAGAAGTGACCTACAATAAGTCACGAAACGTCAGAAATATAATTTTTCTTATTAACTTTCTTCCCACCACTCAATTTATTTGAAACTATTAAATACAACCTTGACAATGATACCTATATATAATATTACTAATTGACATGTTAGTGAATACTTCATTTCTCTGTAAATAATAAAAATCTTTTATTTGTGCCAATAATTGTAAACTGAGACTGAATGACTTTAACACTAATCGCCTAATGTTTAATATTCATTCGTAACGAATAATCCGAATCAGATGATGTATGAAACATGTTTAAGTATATCCTTAGCTATATAATACAATTCCTGTAACAAAATTAATAAACTACTATACTTAAATATCATATCTAATTTTTAGAATATAGGAAAGGTTGAACAAGTATTTCATCGAAGTTCACTTTATATAAAAACAATTTATCACTAAGACCGATATACAGATCTCAATATGATTTATGGGTTAAAATATCTTAATTTATAAGATATTATCTAGTTATGTAATAGTTGCAATTTTTAATCTTTCATTCAAAAGAAAAAATGTTATATTATTACAAAGAGAACCATACAATTATATAAACTTACAAAGTTCTTGAAAATTCTCATAAATATCCGATCCATCACCCACATAACAAACTTGATTATTTGTATCATATAATTGTTGTTCATTGTCATTTGTAACCCAATACATAATGTAAAAGTTGCACATTTCATCATTTCGTGTATTTCTGTATAAATAATAAATAGAAATGAATAGTTCAATTGATTTACATATTTTTCATAAAGTTTCATGACAATCAAACTCATAGAAGTTAAAATATCCACATAAAATGAAAATAAATTCTTATTATAGGCACTAGAGATTATACTGTCTTTGACACCATAGTGAAATTAGTACTAAATTGAAAAGTATACAATTATAAAAAACATATTTCAAAAACACTCTATCTAAAACATGTAAATACACTAACCTATTCGATTTTTCGAGTCGACATATATTTGAACTTATCAGAGAATTTCGAAACTTTCTCATCCCTGTTTGCGGCTTATAAGCAGTGTGCTTACGTAATCTTACACAGAAGTGGATCGAAAACCTTTAGAATTCAATGAGAGTACAATATCTTTAGACTATAAACAAAAATGGTCAGTAGTGTCATACAAGACGTGCGTTTCATCCTATTCGGGACTCGTCAATTGGGTGTACCTGCATCCCGGAGTTGATGTTCACTTCGACAATCGAACTCAGTACCATTAGCTTCAAACGCCATCGCGTTATCCAGTATTTATTTGTAATTCAGTGGTATACTCCACTATTTTAAATTAATCGGTAGTGATTATGTCACTTCTCCTATAATCAAGTCCACAGATCTAACATTTATAAGCAAGAAAATATTTGTAATTAAATGCTTTATAAAGAACATATCAATTTTAAAGTACTTTTTATCATGAGATTAAAGCAACTAAGGAACTAACAACAATAGCTATCTACAAATCCAGACTTTTTTCCAGATATTAGTCAACTTCCTAGTTGTATACATTCATGTAAAATGGATTCTTGTATATGTTTACTTGTTCAATTAGATAATAAACTGATAATTAATTTTTGTATAACCATATATATTATGTATATTGTATCATATTTAAAAAAGATATTTCCATAGTAGGCTATATAAAACATTCGTAGCTTTCTGAATGTTCCAACATATTATTCAATTGCCTGAAAAGAGCATAGCTGTTTAAATTGCTGTCAAAATTGCCTTTGTGAAAAACTTCAACAGTAATTTTGTCATACATGGTATTTTCTATCTCGCGATTTAGAAATAATTATACACTTATTCACCAAAATCAAAGCGTTTTCTTCGATTTGTTAGTGAACTAACCCTTGAATAGTCAACGTCGTATAGTTCCAATTGATTCCAATGACTTAAATTGAAATTACTTTACATTTGAAGCAGTACATTACAAGTGCATTTTAACCCAATGCATAAATAGTATCTCATTCAACAAGAAACACGATGGCCCTGAGTTCGAGCGCGTCTACACTACTGAAAAGTTGGGGAGTAGAGTAAAACATCCAAGCAATGTTTTCAGATGTCTACTACTTCAAGATGATGTCATTCATGATGAAAATGGGATGGAGTATAGTACTACAAATATCATTGAACTAATATCAAGGATATTTATAAAATCCTTTATTTTGTCACTGCCCTCACTAAACAGGAATTTATTATTTGGATATTTGAAATGAATTAACATTTATAGAAAAATTATCAAATTTCAAACCTACCCGATTCGAATTATTCTACTCTCATTATTTTGCATTATACACCTTGCTGCCTAAAAAAAGAAAGATATTGAGTGTTTTTAAAGAAAAATCAGTATGTAGAAAAACACAAAAGATTATTAAACGTACAATTATATTTTGTTTGTGTATTTCAAGTGATTGGTTTTGCACTGGATAGAATGTCTACAAAATAAAAGTAAACGCGACAAAAAGAAAGATGGTGATTAAAACATGTAACATTTTGGAAAAAAGAAATGTTCAGATACATATAGTCTATTTTGTTTTTAATATTCAAAAGATACTATGCATACTATGTATATGAATAAATAACACGAATTCCTTTTAACTTTATCATCTTCTGTTGTATCCACTATCAACATTATTTTTAAGTGAAGTGAATGAATCACATTAAACAACAACATGAAGATCAAATAGAATATATTCTTTAGAATTCTAATTGGTTACTTATTAATTACTTGTTTATGCTAATTAATGTCTCCTTCATAAACTTAATGATAATAATAAATATACTATTTATGATAACCTGATGAGTAGAAAAATTGTTTTCCTGACGTTTCGTAACTGAATGTAAGTCACTTCTTCATGATGATAATAGTTTTCCATGAAAAAAATAAAGTATGTTGTCTACTCTTAGTTATGTGATATATTGTGAGAATATTAAAGCTTTTTCAATGCATGTAATTAGGATAATTGCTTTTCTTAAAATATTTTTAAATGATTCTTGAGGTGTTTTTTTATGAGTAAGGTTTGAATGGTTGATATATTAAATGAAATCTCTATAATTAACGGGGCCAACTTGAATTGAATTAATATTTCCATGTTATTGAACTTTATCGTTTACAGTAACCTTTGAAGGATATTTATCACTCATTCATTCATTATGGAAAGTTAAATAACAAATTTCATAAGATAGATATGATGCTTAAACCTATACTTTTTCTTTAATGATATGTACATTTCATTAAGATCAAAAGTAATGATTAGTAAGATATGTTTAACTTAAATTGTACAACTACCAAGTTAGATTTGTAATCTTAAATACGATGTTTTATTAAAAATACTTGCTTCCTACTTCATTTACGTCAAAGATAATAATATCTAACTGATATTCTATGCAATAGAATTTACCATAATATTTAAAGCAATAGTAAGCAACCTGCTATTATTTCAACTACCTACTTAAAATATTGAAGATAATTTATCAGATCATATTAATCATCAAGTCGTCAATGTAACTTCATAATGATCCATTCTTATAAAGTTTAAGTATTTGTTTAACTCATTTTGATGATCATTGGCAATATATATATAGCTTCAAAATTGTCGATAGATTAATAAACCATATTCGTTGCTTACTTGATGTTCTTGAGGTGATTTAGATCCAATAAGATAAGATTCATTTCCATCAACAACATAACCTTTAGATAGAACACCTAGTAGAAAAAGTAGAAAGTGAAAATTGTGACCATAATCAACTATGTCTTAGTAACTTTGGCAAAGTAAAAAAAATTACGGAAGGTATGTATTCAATTAAATGAAAGTTATGAAAATTATAGATTTTGGAGTTTTAATTTTTTGTTAGAATGAGTCAAATTCGTTTGTATTTAGTCATTATGTGTTTATTTTTGAAACATGTATGATAATAACGGGAAGAAAAGTCAAAATTCACTTGGTTTACTCATTATGAGTTTACTTCAAGATTACTTCCGTTTTGATTCAATGTCATGATTACTCAATGTAGTATTTGTTTTCCTTTTCTCGTATGATATTTTATTCTATATAATATACAATATTCATGTATTCAATTGACATGAACTATGCTCAGTATGTGATTTGTTATAACTCTAAGTAGTTTACATGTATGTGGTTTCATCCTAATTATTATTCAAAATGGGTCGTTGTCGTGTTTTTGGGGTTAATAAATCATTACTTATACCAGCGTTTATGTTCTTGCTTTCGCGTAGTGGAAATTGCAGAGGTCCCTCGTTCCGAGTATAAATGATAAGCGTTTCCGACATAACAATCAGCGACGACCATATATAACAAGTAGCATTCAACTGACATGTTATAACAATTTACGAACGACTAAATGATCGAATATACTGCTTAAAAGAACCAATTTTCAGAAAATAGTTTTAAGAAGCTTGACGTTCATTTTAGATACTTTATTGGTTGACTTTAAAAATTGTTTTAAATAAACAACTATGTGCAAAGAATGTCTTTGTTATTTCGAACAAAATATGAATAATACATCCTTGTAACAATTTGTAAACTACAAATAGTGTTGATGAATTAAACTCAATGAATACTTTTAATAAAGAAACTGAGTTAAATAGGAAATGAAAACGATATGGTGACAAAAATTTTCTTATTTCGTTGGTCTCATTTAAACTGAATAGTCATATTCGTAGTCAATTTGTTTCATAAATATTGTGTCTATAGTAAAATAGAATAGTGTTAAACAGTTATGGGAAAAATTCAAGTGGTCTTATATCACAAATCAAATACTAAAAGGAAGTTACGCAATGATTCGACGGCTAATAAATAATGTTAATATAAAAATTACTATCCATTTGATACATATTAAGGAAAGAATAACTAAATAAAATAATGACTATTTAATAATTATGTAAAATAATTGGAAAGAAGTAGAAAAAAAGATAGATTATGAAAGATAGAAAGGTTAAAACGACAGTAGAACGAGGGATCAGGTATTCTGTATATGCACACGAAGGATATGGTTGAATGTGTAGTTAACTAGAGCCCCTGTTGTACATACTTTTTAAATTTGTACTAATTTCGAATCGATGGACGGCCTTTACTGACATGATGGGTTTTTCTCGTTTTTGAAAACGCTGAGCTGTTTAAATTACTCACACATTAGTTTTTAAATAATCATAGAAAGATTTTAGACAGTACTGAGTCTTGATACAAACGAATTTGAATGGCATATTATCCAACCTTAGCTTGCTGTTTTATTTTCCAGAAATCGTAATCATAATTGAAATACAGTGTTGGTGAAACTTTTAGAAAAACAGTAACTATTAAATAATAAGTTTCATCAATTAACTCATCAGGCTCAATGATCTAAAATGAAACTAATCTTTTTTAGTTTCACGAAAACAGTTCTCTTTTGAAGTATAGTTAATGAAATGCTATAGTATTTATGAACTACAAAACTTTTATTGGGACTGAAATTTACACATAAGCACACGGAATTAAAACCTAACTCAATTATTGCATTATAATAGATAATTGGATATCATACTTCTAATTGGGAACTTATTTTGGGCGTTCTTTTTTCATTTGAAAAACGCAAATGTGTTAAAAACAAAGGATGGGATAAACGTCTATTAGAAGAGAAACTGATCCATATTTTGATCTATTCAATTTATTTGAAAGCAGTTCAGTTTTCACAAGAATAATTCGAATAATAAAACCTTGAGGTCACTTATCTATTGGGAAATCAATTGATTCATGTTTTCTTCAAAATTTAAGCATGAATGGAATGGATCTTCAATGGTTTAGTGGACCATACATAGATTGTAAAAACATTGGGAAAATTCAAGCAAAGCAGAAAAAACATAATGCGTTTTTCTAATCCATTTAGCATGCATCGCAACTATGTTAACAGACGCAACTACTTAGGAAGTGAAAAAAATTCTGAATTGTAATTTATTTAATTCATTCTAATAGAAGTTAATAGTCAAGAGTAGTAGTTTATATAGTAAAGATATTGTGCTCCCAATAGTTAGTTTTTATTCTATTTACTAGGTATTGAAATTGTATGAGAACTAACAACACAGATCTATCTAAAATTTATTTGAAATATTCTGATACGTTTGTGTTGTTATCACGAAGATTGAGAAGATAATAATTGATATGATCTTAGTGTACTTCAAATGAATTTAAACAAAAATGTACGTGCATCAACATATAGTAAAAGCTTTTAACAAGTAAATTATTAACTAAACTCGATCGTATATAAATGTATGTAGCGAGTTGATTAGAACAAAAGAAATACGTGTCGGCATTCCATATTTGTGTGATTGCTTTGATTTCGTTGAATAGCAATCTTTGTAATATTAACAACTGTCGTTCCCTGGATAGAGAGTTTAATTAATTGGTTAGAGTTTATAAGAAAACGTCTGTTTCGATATTATGAAATAGAAATGATATGGACTGAACATCAAAAGCAAACATGGAACGGCTGATCTATCTAACTCAAATTGTATTCAAGAAGCAAATGTTTGTAGACTGGTTTCTTCTTCATTGGCCCACATTTAACCAAAATATATTACTAGTAATCCACTAAACAGTGTGGGCTTTTGCAGTGTACTGATGAGACCACAAATCAAGATATCTGTTAACATGAATGTACCTCGATTACCATCACTAAAGGCTATAAAATCGTGTTTTCAACGAATAAGTAGCTCAAAATTCCAAGGTCATCCTTAGTATCTTACAGGTAAGAAGTGTATTATAGTTTTACCCAACCAGAACCTAAGCTTAGATTTTACATTGGTTGATTTCACGAGGACTGAGATCATGGTAACTTTTTTATTTTTTATTTATTTGAATGTGTATGAAAAGGTTTCTGACGAAATTATGATAAGATTGTTGTACATATTAGACTTACCGTGACTATGAGTGTGAACACGGAAGGCAAATGGATGTAATGTAGCATTGCCTGTGTATGAACATGCCACATCCAGACGAGCTGAAAAAACAAAAACTAACTTATTTGAATGTGTAAATCATAAATTAACAATTTTTAACGGAAAATAAAGTTTTAGGGGACATCATTTAAAAGTAATGATATTCACTTTTCGCTCCCACAAAGTTGTATAATTAAGATCTGTAACTCAGTATTTCTGTCTTCTTTATATCTTTTGCAAAGTAAATAAGAGTCTTGTGTTAAAGATGAACTGAGGTTTTAAATGATTACAAATATTTTCAAATGTGAATAAATAGTTTCACAGAAAACATTAAATACTAAAATTACATTTGATATTTAAGTTATTTTAATGTTTTGTTAGACAATCTGATTTGGAATATAAAAGTTTAGTTTCTCTACAATATAAAATAAAATTTTCATTATGGAATAATAATCATATGCTTTTTGGATATAGTTGAGATGGAAATGAGTGGTTTGTGGAATAATCTGTTAGTTCAAAGATTTGCTGGGAAGTTTTTAAGTAGACGGTCATAAAGTCGAAACTAAGGAATCTTTAGTCATTAATGAAAAATCAGTTTATGTACTTACCACTCATATATGACGTACCCAAAGAAGTATTATTTTCGGAACAATCTAGAGCAATTCAAGAATTGTTCAACACAAGAAAACTACTACTAGTGAATTCTACGCATTTAGTGGTACTATCTAGATTGAAGCACAAATTGTTTATATAAGCCATATTTTTCTGTATCTACGAATATATTTACTTCTGTGGAGAAAGTTACATAAGGAGACATTTAAAGAATCTACTTTTCTGTATTAGTAAAGACTTTCTTAGAGTGACTAATCAAAGACGTAGTTAAGACTGTCAACTGTTTTATACAGCTCATTTATTTTACATGAACCATGTTGTCAACAACAACGTACTGTGGGAGAGAACAAAACAGATCCCAGCGGAGGAAGAAATCAGGAAGACGCGCTGGAAGTGGATAGGACACACATTGAGGAAAGCACCCAACTGCGTCACAAGACAAGCCCTCACATGGAATCCTCAAGGCCAAAGGAAAAGAGGAAGACCAAAGAACACATTACGCCGAGAAATGGAAATAGACATGAGAAAAATGAACAAGAATTGGATGGAACTAGAAAAGAAGGCCCAGGACAGAGTGTTTTGGAGAATGCTGGTCAGCGGCCTATGCTCCATTGGGAGTAACAGGCATTTCTTCTTCTACTTCTCTATGTTGTCAACAATAATTTGTCGTTTTCAATAATCTACCACATAAAGAGAAATTTACCAACAGTAGCCAGGGCCTGAATCATTTAAAAGGCAGAAATTATTGTAATACAAATTAAAAACTCTAAGCTTTGAATAAAAAAAATGTATCTGTAGCCTCTGTTTCTACTTGGTATAAACCCAATAGTATTTTCTATTATAAAATGGCCTAATATGGTTTATGTATGTAATCCCGTTGTCCCTACACAATCCAAATTCATTTGATTCGACTAATTATTTTATTTAAGTAAGTAGTTAATTAAATTTGACTCCTATATTTATTGTCTCTTTAAAGCATTGCGTAACCCTTTATCGAATATTTGACTGTTATTCATTCTCTCACCCTACATTATATGTATTTATTTCCATTATTAATCTGACAACTTTATTTGTCCTCAAAGTTGATTCAAGTCATTTCATTACTTACCACTAATCCTAAATGTATAAAAGCAGTTATAAAAAACTTATTCGGCAGCACTTATAATTATTAATCTCAAGGTATAATTCTCCAACGCTAAGGACAAAATGGGTTTTTGGCTTTGGCCTCAAATAAAGCCGAAATAATTATTCAGCTTATGTTAGTTTGGTGGTAAAAATTACTGTCAGCTTGTACAAAATAAGATATAAGTATCTATCTTGGGTTAGATTTTATGCCTTAAAATTTCAATAGCAAAGTTTAGTAATGACGATATAAATGATAATCAACACTTTCGATACTCATACATAATTTACTTAGTGTGATACTTACCTATTTGACTGGGTCCAATATCTTCACCGCTAACCAATATGTATATTCCAGCCAATTTACCAGTTCTAAAATTATTCATCAGGAAAAATACCAGTAAAATAACATACCTACTATGAAATAGTACGTACAAAAATTCCATGACCAACTAACATTCTTGTAGAATATATATTGACAGTGTTTGTTATTATTTTCGTTGTCACTTTTATGTCAGTTAAACTTATAATGCGCAAAATCTCCTCTGAAGTTGTAACAGTCATTTTATCCGATGTATGACATGAGTCATAACTCATATCCTTAATGGGTCAATATAATAATTGGTTGTAGTGTATTCAGTAAAGACTGTGGATCTAGACAGTTTGTGAATGCTTTTCACAAATAAACTTTATAACTCCACACTTTTTATGAATCGTCTAGCTATTTCTCTAATTAATTCACCATATTATTAACTAGACTGATAATGAATTATAGTTAGGTCAAAACAAAGTGTGACCAGTTCCCATAGTTCATAAATTACTCAGAAAAATCTTTTGTGTTATCACAGACATATCCATTGAGGTTTCAAATAATGAATAAAATTTCGATACAAATCATAATCTACAGACTGTTTATTTACAGATCTTAAAGTATCACCATAAATTATCAGTAAAATAAGGATATGTAAATCACAATGCAAAGTATTAAGTATTGTGTCAGACTCTCCATTACAAAACCTACTCTAAGAACCGTCAATGTTATTTTGTACAACAAGACTAGTAAATGTTTTACATATTTAATCCATTGTATCCATTGCGACAGAAATGTACAAATTGGCCTAAATAAATACTAAAGTATTGTTATTTAGTTTTGTATTGAAGATACAACAAACAATATAAAATGAATCCAAATTTCACCCCATCGCACAAGCTATTGGCTATCAGGACTCAGTAGCTGAGTGGATAATGCAATAGCGTTTGAAGCCAACGGTACTGGGCATCACCTTCGGGATGCAGATATTTTCAGCTGATGAGTCCCGAATAGGACTAAACGCGCGTTCTGGATTCTACTGCTAGCCACCATCCATCTTTGCTTATTCAAAAATAGTTGTGTAGAAAAATTGTACCTTTGTAACTGAACTAAAACTGCTGAGTACCAGGAAAATCACTGTTTGAAAAGCGAAATACCATCATAAAAGTCAAACAAAACTAAGTAGTCTAATTTGGTGTAATGTCTACTCCCGGTCAATAAGATTTAAGAACAATATATAAGTGAAGTTGATTCAGCAAAAATATCTTCAATAACCTAACTAAAGAGTATCTACTTCTGTGGCAATTACTTACAAAAATCATTATTAGGAAAGAATACACACTTTTAATTTTTATCTCTTATCTTGTTATGTATGGTAATTTGATTCTACTTTGTCGCATAAGTCTGAGTTCTAGAGTAATAAGTTAAGTTATCACGGGGGATTTCGGTCAAGCATAAATTTAAGAATACTGAATTGCTTGAAATAAATGTCATATTAAATGTCAGTCTAAATGAATCTGACGAACATTTTATCTAGTGTATAGTCGGGAAGAAACATAAAATTTTTAGAGAATATATTATCTATTAACACTTGCGCCATTGTACATGAGCTTTGCTGACGAAGAAAAGATTGTGTAGAATTGTCAAACGAAGAATAACTTTCTTCCTTTAAAGTCATAATAAACTAAACTTTAAAGGTAACTATTTAAACTTGCATCCTGTTTTTGACAACATGAAACCCTATTCAATATCAAGTTTTGATCTATTTTCCATTTTAATGTTTCAAGGCATCAGACGGTTAGCGTACTGTGTGAAATACTTAACTCATAGATATAAATAATGGTTTAGTTTGCTTTATTGGCCTCACCATTAACTTTGATGGGGCAATATTACTATTAGTTATTTCTCACTGGATCATACGGCGTTTTAATTGATACAGCAATTAAAATTGCCAAGAGATTTATTCACACTGGAGAATTAACAGAATCCTATATAAAGTAGATTAAAGCGCACCGAAAATCTATCAAATAATAGTAATTGCTGTAATCAATAAAAAATTTATTTTGTCCCTAAAGTAACATTGGAAAAATTAATTGTTACATGACATTTTGAAACAAAATTTAAAAACATTTAGTGGATATAGGTAGATGTCATCAGAAAAATTTCGATTATTGACGACTAAAGAAGAATACACAGAGCATTCTCTGTACTTTTAGAGCTTACTACCATTTATTTCGATAGAGTAACCAGTTAGTATCAAATGTTGCGATCAACGTGGGAAGTAAAAAACCATGTTCATCGATTGCAAAACACATAATTGAAACGAGGCACAGAATTGACATCAATCCAGCTTTTAAAACGTTGTATAGAAATTGTCAAGGATGAATTCCCAGGTTTATGAAAGCCTTGGGTATTCGTAAATTTGAAGCTCCCTTATGTGTACAATAACAATTTATCATAACCTTGAACTTACTCTGATAATCCCTAAGTCATTTTATGGCCTAGGATAATGCGATAATTTCTGATTCTTTTTATTCTATGTTAATTTTCTCTCCCCTTTATTAATTTATTAACTTGAAATTTCATTTCATTGACCTTCATTAATCTCCAGATAAAATGGCCTAACAAGTATATGTGTGACCAGATCGTTCGAAATATATAGCGTAATTACATTACACTTTTCAGATCAACTCCGTCTTCTCATTGCTCTATCGAAATCTATAAAAGGGATTAATAGCCTTAAACTACCATATATGCTTCACAGACTTTTTCAAGTGTTCATTAATTCTTATAAAGCTGAGAAATTCATTTGTATAAACGAATTTAGACCGCGTTTATCAGTAATATTTTGACTTCTGATAGTGGATAACTGACCTAATTAATCGGGACACAGTATACATTGATCCAAACTTTAATATACTAGACAAAAGCGAAGATTGTTTAGTGATCTATATTTCTTGTCCTTTATTCATCACATGTTATCGTATTAGTCATACTCTCTGAGTTGAATACTTTTCACATAAGCCTCAATCCCTATTGGATATTCTATTAAATGACCCGTGGTTTTGCCCTCTGGAATTCTTTCATATGGTATCTGAACGTCAATCCTTTAAGCAATTAATTGTTTAGCGACGACAGACTTATGAAGATTTATTAAATTGATTCTCGCTCCATAATGTATTTAAACGTATTCGAAAGACACTCAAGTGCTATTAGCTGCGTTTTGTGTGTATACTGATATTGTACTCCTGAGTTATATCTATTTGTAATAAAACTCAATCATAAATTAGCATTCAAATTTATATAAATGATTCGTTAAAAAATGTATGTACAATTATTAACATACGGCGTAGACTGGGTAGTGAGTTCTAATCCACTTGTATCTTTCTCGTCTAAATTCATAGCATCTTTGTAATGAACTTGTAGTACAAAATATTTATATGGCGTTTCATAACCAACTTTAAACGACACATCTAGGCAAGATGAAACAAACAAATAAATGATAACGTTTATTATTGGCGGGGATTCAAATAAATAACACTGAAATATTTATTTATTCCTAAAGAAATAATCTGGAAACTGATTACTTGATTTTAGATTTTTCAAGTGTATATGGTATTATGTAATTCGAGTGAATTTAATGGATTATTATTGTGCTGTTTACTTGATATTTAAGTAGGACTGTGATATGAAATTTTGAATCATTTTTACTTATCTTCCAGACAGTATTGGTTGCTTAACTGTAAATCTTGTTTTTGTTAGATTTTGATGCTTTTACGTGTCCTGAACGTTTCATTAATGTATACCCTATAATTAAAGTAAATAGCATCAAGACTGGCCAAAAACCAGTTTTCGTAACTGAAGTCATAACATCATTTGAGAGTCATGAAACTCTCTTCGTTTGATTTTACTTCAAGTAGATTACAACATATTGTTATAACGCTCGGTTTTTCCGTCTTGACGTGTGGGACGTTAATTTGCCTTAGACGAGTATTTGCACTAGATACTCTCCCAGTGCCTATTCTACAGAACATTAACACAAAAATACGTGATTAGTCTGACTAGAACGTAGGTATATTTCCACACCAAAAGCCGACAACAATTCAATAATAACAATGGTTAGCGAATATATATAACTCCTCTAGTGCCTGTATGACTAGGCAAACAACCAATCATTACCATTCTTGCCCACAGATCATATAATTAATTTATAGAATTGATCTACAGAATCATCAATATTGGAAGTGATAAATTATTCAACAATGATAATATAGACTTTATATATCGTTGGAAATATAAATTATCGAGTTTATATTTAGAGGTTTAACGGTATTCTATTTATTACTAGAAATTTGAAGGCCGCTAGAGGGTTTCAAACCAGCTTTGCAGCTGATTGCATTTCTTAATAATATCACCATTATAAACAAATTAGTGTTACCGGTAAACTCCGATATATAATTGTTACTATGGCTTCATTTCTACTTTTTATGCGTTTATACAAACAGACGTTTTCAAAAACAAAGATTCTTACATCTTTTGTAAACATATACACGGTGAATATTTTAAACATTCATTGTTAAATATCTAACTTGAGCAATGATGTTAAAACCACTGGTGAATTGTGTAAAATAAAGTCTTTCATATAAAGTTTTATACTCCAATCGCTTGTGCAAATTATGTGATTGGTGGAGAAGGCTCTTAGCTCAGGTAGATTATTTTGATGGAGTTTTGTTCTCTGAGCTCGATAAATAAACTTCTATCTAGGTAGAACTGAAGTGTTCGAATCAAGATCGATGTCTACAGGACAATCTGTGAGCCATATGTGGAGAAATTTGGACACTTCAGTTTAACCTGAAGTTTGTGCTGATGGTGTCGTTCAGAATAACGATGAAAGCTCCACGACTAAACCATCCAGCTAAGAGAACAAAACTCCATCAAATAATGTGATTAAATACATCTAATAACTGAGATGTAATTTATTGAATTACAATAGTTTGTTCATATTTTTAAAAACAGTAAATTTTTAGTAGTTATTCTTCAGTTGAATTTTAAGTAAAATCTTCGTTAAAGATACACAAGAAAACTAATCAAATATAACTTCGAAAACTATAGTTTCCTGCAGTGAATCTTTATTTATTATTCGATCATTTGAGCAATCTACAGTTCCTTCTTACGACACAGAAAGTATTGGCTGCCAATAATACTAGTGAGATATTTGAATGTTTATTAGTGTGAAAATTCTTTTCAGCACTTCAATTTCTATATCTTATGGACTTCAGATATAACCATTCATAAAATATCCCAATGTATTTCATTATGTATTTTGAGCTTTGATTGGTCAATATTGAAATATAAAGTTGGATTTATCAAAGTTCAACTTTAATCACAACGTAATAAAACATGTCAGTAAATGGCACTACAAAACTGCATGTTGATATGATGGTCAATTAATTTGATATGCACAACTATCCTCTGTTTCCCAAAAATTCAAAATTGCATAAAAATAGCAATAAGTCGCAAACTATGCACAGTAGGCTAGATAATATAGGCTTAAATACTCATAATTATATTTCTGTTGGCCTGAGCTGTGAACACTGGTATTACCCTTGTGGCCATTTAATAACATATGATGACAGTATGATTGGAAGTAAGCTATAATAATGATAATGTAGTAAATGGATGAACTATTTATCTTCTAACTTTATACATAATTTATTGTCATCTGTTAACTTTGTTGCGGTTTATCTTTTCTCTTTGATTATTCTAGTTTCTTAGGTTTCACTATATTTTAGATTATCTTAATACATCAATGTTGAGCAACTGGAACGTATAAACTGTATAGTCAACTTTTATGCTGAACTGATTGTATTCTTATCTTGTTATACAACTTTACTTATCAATTTGACTGTGTAAGTTCGAATTTAACAGTTCGAAACTGTAAAAAAAGATTATTTTCGTCAGATTTGCACTTTGATTTTACAATTCAGACAAGTTTTTTTTCCAATATACAATTTTTCAACCATTTCAGCAGTTGAATGGTTCAGTAGTTTCCCTCTTGGTTATCATTGGCAAAAACGGATTAGAATATAATTGTCAATTAATAACATTACAATATATAGCGTGATTTGATCACAGAAATACAGATCCTTTTTTGACAAAATTAAATAGAAATTATTATACGTATGACTATAAGAAGGAATCGTATTCAAGAACATGTAAAGACAAATATTGTCATCACGGATACAAACAATGGGATAGTTTTAAGAATCACTGATCAGAATAGTTACGTTTCCTCAGTTTACTGCAAATGGTTCTGACTATATGTTGAGTCGGCTTCCGGAGAACTTCAACGGAGCCTCCGGAGGCCCAAAAGGAGCCGGAGAGTCCTAGCCAATCAGAGTATGATGAAACATTCTGGAATTCCAACGTGGCGTGCTACTATTGGTCGGTAGCATAATATGTCGTTAACGGATTGACTGAAATATGACGTTGATTTAACAGACGCCAACATCTATAAATACCCATGATTTTTTGTACAAAAATGAACCTTGAGATAAAGTATTTTCTCTCATACTTGCGTCTTCTCTCTGGTGTTCAAATCGCTGTGTAGTTCTAGTCTGCGGATTACCAGAATAGCTTAGGAAAACGAATATAGCGTTCGATCGACAAAACTTATCACTATAGGTATTGTGCAATTTGTAAATCCATAAATCATAGAAAGTACAAGTTTTCTTAACGCTACTAATGTCATACACTATGGACTAACTGTAGTTAAATGTTTCTTGAATGAAATGCAACACCATGTCCATCGTTATATGGTCATTGACTTTGTATTCCAAAAACAAGTAAGAGATCTCTAAAATACGTCTCACACTTTAAAAACAATGGAAATATATCGAACTGATATAAATATCTGAAATATATATCTTACAATGTGAATCGTTTAATATAAATCTGAACAACATACCGTCAGGCATTTCAAAGGACGGAGCTCCCATAGCCCAAGAGTATAAAATAGACTCAGATGCATTACATACAGGTGTTTCGTCATCCGACATCTCACCACATTTCCTACAATAAGTTAAACATTTCTATGTCAAAACAAATTAAAGCTCATAAGTAGGTAGTTAGCTTAAGTTTACTGATTTTTTAATTTATATTCTAGTGAAGATTTTATAAATAAAACTTCCGCTTTTTTATATATGGAATGTCGGTTGTTCACTATCTTAGAAACTGTGACTGGTAATATACAATTAGGAGCAAGGACATGTCAAAAATGTCACAATTAGCAAGTTATGAATCGTATTACTAATAATAGATAGCCATTGTAAATTCCGAAATTAAGCATCACATAAATAAAAATTGGATCAAAATATGTGGCAAATGTTCACAGTAAGTATTTCAGTGTCCACTATTCCTTATGTTTTTTGACTGTTTCGCGATTTTCAATTAAGTTTTGTGAACTTATGGTAGAAGAAGCAAGTGAGGGGACTAAATATATTTTTCTGTATAGTATGACAACTTTACAAGTAAATACACTATACTACAGTTTGCTATGTATGGATGTCACTCAAAGTATGGAATATGGATAAGCGATAAATATTCAGTAATTGGTCATGGGCGGTAGATTTAGTAGGCAGAGAGTGATGAAAAGCGTAGAGATACCTAATGAATGCTATATATCAACCACTAAAGCGAACTGACTATTGATTATGGAATAATCAAACCCACTTGTATTTGAAATAGACGCAGATGGTTTTGTCCCAAGCGACAATAAAATCGCCGAGATCAAATTATCTAACTGAGAGAAATCGAAGACACTTTTTGTTTTATTGTTAAAAAGCTGAGTACATAATAACTGTTGTACACCCTGATTTATATCTTTCATAAAATATACTAACTCTCCTATTAACAATTCTACAACAATTTCTCAATGACTAGATATCTATAATTCATCCATGCCGTATACGTAGAATGACGACTTTCCATATATAGCAAACTATTGTGCTGTATTGCAAGTTCTTGGTTGGAGGTAGTCGACAGGAAACCCTGGACCTAGGTTTCGTGCTATTTAGCACTCGTCAGTAAGATGTATCTATAATCTTGAGGAAACTGATGCTTCCTGGAGGATTCGACCTTGTGCCACCTAGGTCCTCAGTCAGATATATTACAAATGAGCTATCCGTTTTGAGACTAACCCTCTGTGTATTCACTTTCTTTTAGATATTCAATAGTGAATTAAAACTAGCAAATCAGAAGAATTTTCTAATTATGTTATATATTCTTAATAAATAATTTCATATTATACATTTCTACTAATTCAATGATAATCGGTTGTTAGAAGGCTTTAAATATAAGTTTTGTAAATGCTCAATACAATTGATTAAAATGTCGACTATTTTAGAAAATGAGATATGTTTTTGTTCCGTTGCTGTAGAAGTGAATGATGAAGATACAATTGATATGGTCATAATTATTGAACTTTGAGACAAACTTGGCATAAAGTAGATATGACATTTCATTCTACAGTAATGACATCTGTTTTCAAAACAGTCATATTCTATCGTTTATTGTTCCATGGTCCTAGCACTCCTCCTAATCTTACAAATTTTAAGTCCTGTTTAATATCTTATACTTCATCATTTCATTGGCAAAGTGGACAGTTATCTTTTGAAATGTTTGCATAGATTATTGTATCTCATCACCTTCGAATCTATTACGTAATTTAATTCCATGATAATTTTTGACCACTTAGCTAAATGATAAAATATCCATTTTATGCAATACTTCAAGACTATCTATAACTATATTCGTTTTGGAATAATACCCTTCTATTTATGAACTATTATAGTTAACACTTGAAATCTGATAATCTTTGTTTACTTCAATAAATGGTGTAACACCATTTCATTTCCTAAAGACTTTTATATTGGATATTACAATGCGCTTGATTATTTTTCATAATTTTATTTAATGGTGTAATATATTTGTTTATTTTATTATAGACAACTACATGAAAAAAATATACGACTGTACTGCTCAAGAAAATGATTTCAATGGAAAAAAACTTGTTTTTCTTCATTGAAAAGTTTTCATTAATTAAATGATAATCAAATGGATAATTCAATATACAGTTTGTCTATAAATACTTGCATAACTTCGAAAGTGTATATCGAAATTATGGTAGAGATAACTCGATGTTTACAATTGATTGAACACTGGGTGGTGATCAGTGTCATGTATGTCAGGTCCATCTTAATACAGATCGAATCCTATCAACCAAGTTGCAATGTGGCGAGCAGTAACGTTTCTGACTTTGAAGCTGGGTGACACGGGGTCACGTCCGTCAGGGACCATCATTATAACTAATTAAATCTATATGGATACCCATTTTTTAAGAGAACAAACTATAATCAATTTTGTTCAACAAAAGCAGACTAAAGTTTTAATAATTTAATACTTCATAAAAAACGAAAGTTCAGTTAATTGAAAATACTTGTAGGGTTATCTCTGTTCATGTTAAGAATAAGCCATTAGTTGTTGTTGAAAAGCGATTCATTCAAATCAACTCATTTCTTTTTTTACTCAATTAAAAAAACAACAATTATATACTTAATTAATGACATATTTCTCAAGTGGTTTTGTTTTTATTAAGAGAATACTGTAGAAGAATGATGTAAGAAATACGAGATAACTGAAGTGACAGTAATAAATGATCGTTTTTGACCTTAGATGCTTTATTAAGAAAAATGACTCATTTGTTTTGTGACAGAGAACATTTAATAGTTGAATTCATGAGTCGATTAAAGCTACATCACCATGGAAAACCTGGAAGTACAGGACGACCATTTCATCCTAGTATGGGACTCTTCATCAGTGCGTATCCACGATCCCGCTCGCGGATTTATATCTTGAAAGAGACCTATACTCTTTAAATATCTAAACATAAATTGAACAATATGAAAAACTATCAATGATTATGAAATGGAAGTTGATGAATTGTTATTCCAATCGTATGATTTTACACTGTTAAATATTTGAATATGTAAAGGATGCCATGTATCTGTATGCATTTAACCAACTTTTTCTTCACTGAAGTATGACTTATATGTAATTTAAAAAAAAATCGGTTTATTATGTCTGGTAAATAAATCTTTCCAGATTTCTGGAAACTAATTTTTGCTTATTATTTTGAAAATGGATCAAAGTAAAGCATAGGGACGATCTTGAATGATTTTTAAAGTGACCATATGATTTTGAACACACTCTAAAAAGAACCTTGTGGATTTTTGAGAGTCTATTATAAAGTAACTTAAAACAAAAACCATACTAGGACAAAACGGCCGTCCAATTCTTCCAGGTTTTCAATGGTGGTCTAACATCGATTCATTCATGATATCAATCTAAAAACCAGTTGATTTGCATGTTATGCAAAATCTATAGTTGTAAAACTGATCACTTGGCACACAGTTTTATTTAATGTTGATAAGACCGATTTTTCCCAAAAGTTCAACACCGAGAAAAAGTTTTTTTCACGAATTTTATGTGATGAAAGTCATTCAATTTTGAATTTTGAACGGTCATTCGAAAGTCGTCTACTCGATTGTGATTGACTCATCCTGAAATGCATCCATTCTTATTTAAAGTGTCTGTAATTAAGTAGAAACTTTCATTTTCACCACTTAGCAGTTACTGTTATTTGTGAAAAATAAAATCTCAATTTTTAAAAAGACTTGAAGAAATTCTATGTTTTGTATTCCAAAACACATTGTTATAATGATTAGTAACGATAAATATTAAATTTACTTACCATAAACCTTCTGTACTTCCTGGCTTGTCACATCCGAACAAAATAAGATGATGAACAAGAGTAGGATCGTAAACAGGCTTGAATCCAGCTGAAGTATATTTTGAAAAATACACATAGAGTAATTATTCAGGAGAATAAAGCTTTAAGTGTCGTAAACTTTATGAAAAACGTTTGAATCATTACTCTGCAGAAATACATATTTGGAGAAGAGAGTGTAAGAAATATTTGCCATCAAGGAATGATATTAGTTATAGAAGTGCCGACAACTAGTTTGTATCACAGAGTTATTCCAACTTATTTTGTAGATCGCAATGAGATTCATCATCAGATTCGGACCCTCATTCAGTGGTATCGTGAATATCACATGGCATATAGTAACTAGATTTACTCTCACGTGAGGGCTTTCTAAAGCGATGATATCACAGCCATCCTGTATTTGCTAACTTTCAGCGGCTTTCTAACTGATGTTCGTTAATTACGACCGACACCACTGTATCATGAAAGTATTGTTATAAGCAAATACTCAAGTAAAATGTTTCCATAAGTAAAAAGCCTTGTTTATTACTACCTGTGAAATAGAATCCTAGGTTGATTAAAACGTATCAGAGAAAAGTTAATTACATATGGGGTAGTACATTTATCTAATAGAATGTCATTATGTTTAGACGAGTAATAAACGTATACCAAAGATACTACTCATAAATACAAAAATTTTAATTTCGATACAAAGCTTTTATTGAAAAACGACATTTTGGGAATGTTTACATAAGTAGTGAAATAACAGTGACAAAATCGCAATGCAGTTAAGGCTTTCAGTATTAGGTAGCTATGGGGCACCAAAACTGAACTGATGTTCATTGCCATTTGTTACATTTCAAAAATACATTTGCTAAGTAGTAAAGTAGTTTTAAAAGTAAAACATTTACTGACACATTCTTAGAGTTACAAAACATATTGTGTAGAATTTTCCCCGTTTTATTCAATTAAATCTACGTAAACTGTTTTACAGCTGAAGAGTAATACTGACGAATCTGAATCAAATTACTTATAAAATAACTTATTCGGAAAATATAACTGGTTTGATGCATATATAAAAGGATTTCTTATAAACATCTATATTTAAACAATTAAATATGTAGCTTTTTGAACAGTTGTTCTTTGTCTTATGCTTTTAAATATCTGATGAATACGAAATAAATGAAACATTTTGACCGGTAAACTGAATTTCGGTAAAGTGTAAATTGTACATGTTTGAATAAAACATTAACAGTATATCAACAGTTCAGTTCATGAGTCAAGTAAACCTAGACCACTATGGAAAACCTGGATACATTGAACGATAATTTCGTCGTAGTATAGGACTCCTCAGCAGTGAGCGTCCAGGTTTTCCATGGTGGTCTAGCTTTAACTGACGCATGAATTTAACTAGTAAATTACTAAAATGTCCACAAAACCCCATTCTAATAATTAACAATATTGTCATTTATAAGTTGGACACAAAATACAAGAATGTGTGAATTTTATCTGAACAGAAAAATTCCACCTATCCAACAGGGAATAAATAATTACAACTGAATGTATGGGATGGAAAATTTCAACTAACTGCATTCAAACAAGATTACATTTCAAACTAATTTATAGAAAGAAGAAAATGGATAATACCGTAATTTATTTATATCTATATATGAAACAGTTTAATCTATTGATGTTATATACATACAAGTCAGTTATTTTATCCAAGATACTGTCGAGTTTATTGTGTTCAAATATGACAACTAACCAGATAAGTGAATGATAAACAACAAAATATAATTCAGTTATATTGAATGATGTATCCATTATCTTCAGCTGTTGTGCCTACTTTTTTCATCTAATCATAACAATTTTATCAACGTAATACAACTGAATTAACTCAGTCATAAAAAGTAACAATATCAATAGTTTGTTTCTAGTTCAAACAATGATCAACAATTCACTAAATTGAACAAACATATAAAATGATCAAACAACTATTATCCGAGTACTAAGTTTCATTAACAGATGATTTTTAACATAAACCAAAATTATTAGAATACCGAGATTGATCTTATACAAAACCTGTAAAGTTATACTTCATTGATCTACCATCGAAATGTCATAGTTATCATATATATTTCATGGATTAGTTGAAGTCAAATATTAACACCGTTGGATGTCAGGTAGCTCAATGGTCTAATGGTTAAGCGCTCGCGCGTGAGACCGATAGGTCTTGAGTTAGAATCTCGCGAGGAAAAAGATCGTGCAATGTTATTAATTGACAATTATATTCTAATCCGTTTTTGCCAATGATAACCAAGAGGGAAACTACTGAACCATTCAACTGCTGAAATGGTTGAAAAATTGTATATTGGAAAAAAAACTTGTCTGAATTGTAAAATCAAAGTGCAAATCTGACGAAAATAATCTTTTTTTACAGTTTCGAACTGTTAAATTCGAACTTACACAGTCAAATTGATAAGTAAAGTTGTATAACAAGATAAGAATACAATCAGTTCAGCATAAAAGTTGACTATACAGTTTATACGTTCTAGTTGCTCAACATTGATGTATTAAGATAATCTAAAATATAGTGCTTCCAGGTTTTCCATGGTGATCTAATTTAAATTGACTCATGATTTCAATTATTGATATATTTCAACAGACAAATTACATAACATTATTACATTGAATTCTACTTCTCAATTAAATTAATTAACTAAGTAGATTGATGTTCACAATATCACAAGTAAGAGGAAACACAATGAACATTAATTAAATAACTTGGCTTTTTCACTACCATAAAACGAAAACACAACAATATCAGTTAACTATGATATTGTAAATTTAATGTTAAGAAATGTTCCATACAATTGGGATTAATTTTACAAGTTAAGAAAATCTATGAGATAAATAGAAGTGTATTACAAAATCTGAGGAAAATCGAGATTAATTTTTAATTTCCTAACTTAACTATTAAATAATGCAAGTACGATTTATGTTTGTAATTTCAGTGAAATTGTTTTAAAATTCAACTTTCAAACAAGATTATTTTGAGATAGAAATCCAATCCTTCTTAAGAATTTGTTTAAGCATTCTCTTGATTTGTTTTCCCGTTAAATCAGTTAAATCTTTGTTATATTTGTCTGGAATTTACTTCGTCCCAGTGATACAATCAACGGTGTTCATTAGGACGATACCTGAACCTATATCTTGATCGTAAGATCATTACTTCAGCATTTTGTTTAATGTTTCTTAAATTTATTAGATGTTTTATAGATTGAATATTCAACTTTGATGTAGATGAAGTCAAATATTGATTTGAACTAGACCTTTTTTATTTAGACTGCCTTCTAGATTAATAATCTTATTTACATTAAGTGAGCTTACTGATTTTATTCTTACTCATTATTAGTGTTTATTTTTTACACAACCACTTGTTTCTAGCCTTCTGGACTTGTTACTATCTGTGTTGTAGAATGTTCTGTCATATAAAGTATATATTTATCAAATTTTATTTAGTTCGTTAAATTTGTTTATACCCTTGCTATGCTACACTGATGTGTGATCATAGCAACCTCCACCGAAACTGTTACATGCAAGCAATTTGTATCCAGTTTGTAATTATTAATTTCAAATATGATAGCTTGTAAGCAGCTGACGAGAACCAGATGAAACTTTTAAAAAATTCGTCCTATTCAGTTTAAATTTTTGTTTTCATTCTCTTCAAATAGTCAGTTACTGATTTTACGTGGTCATCACAAGTAGCTATATTAATGTTTTCCAGTTCAAATAATGATCAACAATCCACTAATTTGAACAAAATAATCAAACAACTATAATCAGTGAAATAAGTTTGGTAGAAAATGGTTTTTAACCTAAATCACATTTGGTAGAACATTTAGATTGACTTTATTAAATCCTATAAAGTTAAAATTCACATAGTTGTTTTTTTTAAAGAACAGAGAAAAATTAGTGAGAAATGTACCAAGCAATTGAACTGAATAATTTGTAGAGAAGAGTTTAACTCTTGATTGTTTGTCCTCTATCGAGATAATAAAAAGCAATTTAGCATTTGTTTGGTGTTAAATCTTATCATGACTTTGTTTTTCATCCGGGATACTAGACTGAGTTATCTTGAACATGCTCATAATAGACGGTTGTGGATAATTCCAGTCTATAAATGAACATTCTGTAAAAATCCGCCATATCAAGGTAATTTATTTACATTTATTCTCTGATAAACTTAATTACTTTGTACCATTTGATGTCCAATTATATGTTCGGTGACCAGTACAACATTTTCACATACCGGACAGGTCTTAGGAACCGGTGAGAAGATACCACAGTAGAATTTGGTATTTGATAAGAAAAAAACAACAAAATTGTAAGATATCAAAACCTTCCGCTCTGAATTATATATGAATGATTAATTTACTAAAGGTTGAGATTAGAAACACCGTTAGTCAATAATTTATATTACCATCCTTTAGTTTAGACATAGGGAATGTAAGATAAATGGATGAAGCCTTCCAACAAAGTAAAGAATAATTAAACTACAATACATTTAACCGTAAAATTCTTTGAAAACATTTTAAGAAAAGATACTGAGATATACCAGATGCCTCAATTTATTTTTAGTTACCTGTTTTTCTTAAATTTCTACATAATTTTTGTCGATGCTAACACTAAAATTGATTAATTCACTATAATAGTATATTAGATAATTATAAAACTGAATTATGCTGAATAAATCATACTCACTTATGTAAAATGTTTTATTCTCAATTCTCTGTGAATAACACCAATATTCATCGTCCTAAAAAAACAAAAAGTATTTATGTAATCAAAATGTCAATATTTCAATCACCATTATTGTTGTTATTTCTGGCATACGAATCTCATATTTGTTGTTTTGATTGGGATATGCAAAAATTCCATGAGATATTATTAAGAACAAAAAATATTCTTTTAGCATTTTGTTATGAAAGTCAGTAACTCAAAAAAGATTAATTAATGATACAACTAGTTTAAAGTTAGATTTTATATTTAATAAATTTGAGATTATGCTATGCTGAGATTGGATAGTGATAGTCAATAGTATTTTAGTTGCGTAGGCAACATTACATCAGTAAGATTCTTTTCTCGAAAATTATACGTTATTGGTGAGTAGTAGACACACGTTTCATCCTCTCATTTGTTATCATAATAATGCATGAGTATTACAGAAGCAATTCAGTTAGCCACCTTATATCCAAGCTTCTAAAATCACACCAATCAATTTTCAATACCCAATTGTATGTGAGCATGGCATGTTCATCCTTACTATCTGCTTTAATTGTACATCAATCAATATTTTGCTAACCTTGATCTACTCTCTATCTGTCTGCCTATCTAACATCTACCTATCTTTTCTCTTTTTATTCACACCCACTCACCTATTCCTCTTTTACTAAGGGAAAAAAATACTTATTAAATAAAACAAGTCGATTTCATTTGTAACCCAATTTCCTCAAAATATCGTAAAATAATAATACAACACGGACATACTATATATGAGAAAGTTGATCGACTTACAGACATTTCAGGCTAAGTTTAAATCATTTCATTTTATTTCACTTTGGATTATTGCTTCTTTTCCATGAACTTAATGTATATGATCTCTTGAAGTTTAAGAAAAGATTGTATAGTATCATCGATACAACTTTGTTGGTTCCCAATATATGGATATATTTAAATACTTCGTAATAAGAAATATTTTAACATCATTTTTGAATAAACAGATCATGGTAAGCCAGTGTTATAATAATAACCAACAGTGTAAACGAATAGATATAATTCTATATTCCAGAGAAACTTGGAAGACTTGTGATTTAGTTGTTTAATATTAAGTGCAATGAACTTGTTAAATATGACGAACAACAATCACAAATCTCCATGTGATATCTGGTTAAACAACTGATATATTTTCATGTAATATGTTTGATTAAATTCTATAAACAATATTTTCTAATATATTCAATTTTATGCTAAAAGTTAATATCCATGTTATTTGACATGGAACTGAATAAACTTTATAGACCTTAAAATGGTATAGTTTTGTTAATAAAAGTATAATGATATGTTTGAAGTATCCATATCAGTAGAAATTGAGATTTTTGATATTTCATGACTCAATATAAAGCATTTCTTCGTAGAATAAATTCACTGAATGAGAAGATATTAGAAATTTTATTTTCTACTTATTGAGATATTTCATAGGGTGAGATTATAATTTATCGACTACATTTGAGAGACTCTAATTTGACCTTGAGAATGTTCGCACATTAACTAGGGTGAAATGAAGATTATTAAACAATGTGAGAAATTAGAAAAACGATTTGCAGTTGATGGTTAGGGTTAGGAACTGGATTTAAGGTTTTCATTACGAAGTGACATAAGCTAAAATACCAAAACGCTATTTAACCAAATGAATGAATGAATTATGCGTCAAAGTCCAAGACCTGATATCTTAGATTCATCCATAGATTATAGTCTCGCCACCTTGATCATAATATCAGAGTAGTTTTAGTTATGATGCAATGTCTCAAAGTACGAAATTTATATTTCTACATTTTCTGTTTCTATCAGAAAAATATTCGCTTCATAAACCATAGTAAATGGTGCTTAAAATCAATACCCGATAATTTCAAAAACTATTATAAAGCTACAAATTAATGGAAATGTATTGAAATGATCATAGGGTTGTTTATTTTATACAAATATCTCTCACTGCTAAAACATTATGAATGCTGTTAATGAACATTGGACAACTTGAGCTTAACATCTAGACCACTGAGTTGACATTCAACAATATTAATGTCTATCCTTTGCTTTTAATTTTCAATAAAAATATAGTTTCATATATACAATCGTAAATTGTCCATTTTGTAACATTATAATAATGTCAAAGTTTGTTGAGCACAAACTTTTTTCTTGTTTTTTTGTTGATTGTTATTACATAGCATTTGATCAGGTGAACTTTGAATAAAAAGGCACTTTTAAAATTAGTGATATAATTCATTTTTAAGATGATAGAAAATACATATTAAAACTTCAACAGTTGAGATCATGAGTCAATTGAAGCTAGATCACCATGGAAAACCTGAAAGCCCTGGACGACTGTTTCGTCCTATTGTGGGACTCCTCAGCAGTGCGTACCCACGATCCTGGCGCGAGACTGATAAGTCCTGGATTCGAGTCCCGCGAGGGGTACCGTGGATGCCCACTTAGGGGGGGTCCCACAATGGGACGAAACGCCCATCCGATGCTTCTAGGTTTTCCATGGTGGTTTAGCTTCAATTGATTCTTGATCTCAACTATTGAAATTACTACAATCTCCACAAAACCCCTTCTGTTACATATTAAAATCTTTCAATTGTAATCTATTTTCACTTTAGTTTATTCAAAACAAGATTTTTTAAAAGAAAAAGCTGTTTTTTAAAGACTTTAACTAGTTCGAATGTTTGACATTTTGATATATTTCGGAACTATTTTAATTTACTTTTAATTAGTTTATTAATATATGATGATTATGTATGGATTTCTAGAAGATGAAATTGTTTTTTCTAATATGAACTCTAACAGGAACGAAATTACAAAAGTATAGAATACCAGTTTTATATCAAATTATTATTTAAACAATGAAGGATCATTGTTTCTATGTATAAACCTACAGGTCATTTTATAAATTTTATTTGAATTCAATTTCCCATAAATAATCTGTTGTTTTAAACAAATTGAGGTGAAGTTTCATTCTGTTTAATTTTGTAATATATATGTGAAATAATTTTAATGGTCACGAACAATATGAACCATTCGTTTATAGTTCTTTTATTATTGTTTTAAAGAATTTCTCGGTTAGATGAGTTAAAACCGGAAAGGAGTAGATAATTTTTAATTTTGATTATGTATGACATAAAGTTCATATGCTGCACTAGCTTTCAGTGTTTAAGTGTTTCAGTTCTTTTTTATTTACTGGCGGTATACAATAAGCAGTAAGAATATTTGACAATTTGATATATGCTGTTACTTTGTGTACATATTTGATTTAGTCCATGAAACCCAAATTTTTAAAACTATCTGTTTTAAAGGGATGCTAAATGAGACGTTTTTCGAACAGTGGTACAGGATACTACTCATTAGTTGCAAATAATTGTGATTTCTTTTAAAGTTGTAGCCTAAATATTCGAAATTTTTCAAACTGTTTGTTCAAATGTATAAGTAAAATTCACAAACGGTTTGAATGTACAAATAAGAATATTATAGTCGGTATTTGCTATAATTTCTCTTATTATGACCCAGCTTCTCATCTTGCTTAGTATTCTTGGACACTACTTCACTCGGCAGGTCCCCAAATCAGAATACCGTTGAACAGGAAATAAATTATAATCTAAATAACAAAGGTAGATGGAAGTAGGAAGCACATTAAGAAAAACGTCAGTAAATTTGTAGTTTTCAGATCATAAGATTCTAGAGTTTTCTTCAAGTATTTTCTAGCGCTGATTGGATACAAAATAGCCAATTAGCGTGCTCTAGGACAATCCTGCATGGAATGTGCTTTAATCCAATCTATGTTCCTCTAACAGTATTATATAGTGAATCTGTTAGCGCATGGAATTCTATGAGATATGATATACATATATACATGTTTTTGTCAGGTAATTCACTAGATAGTGGACATTAGTTTATTGTAACTATAGTTTCCCTGAAAGACGTGTTTTAGCTAGAGAATCATTAAAAACCGGATAGCACTGGATATATGCTTCTTCCTACTTTAAGACTACTAATCCATGTGGATCCTTAACAGGTTTGCTGACCAATGAGGTGACTTGTATCAAATGTCATAGTCAATAAAACTTTAGTAACACTAAATTCTTTATAACTACCCCTGTTTTTAAATATAGTTCTACCACAAAAAAACATGAACTTTTAATTATCCTCACATAAAACTTAGAACGGTATCATGCAAAGCACTCAGAAAATAGTGACTAAGATGAAAAAAGATGGTGTTTCCATTTGAAATATTATTAATCATATAGTTTACAAAAGAATCTCTGAAAAATCTCCCATATAATCAACCTATCCCATATATATATATATATATATATATATATATATATATATATAAGTAATTATCAAGAATAGCTTTACTTATAATCAGCATTTATTTTTTCAACAGTTTGCATGTTTTTTTCGCATTTTCTGTAGACTATGGTCAAATTCTTACTTTGATTTTTGTTTCACAAAGAATTCTACTTTCAAATACTCTACCAACCATTACAACTAGTAATTCTTTCTAAAAAAAAACTTCAGATACGTTTCTTAATTTTTTTCTCGTTATTTACTAAACATTTGATACAAATATAATATTGTTAGTTTTCTGTTACTAAGGTAGTCAAACATTTGCTTCCTTTCGGCTGTCATTTAATATGAAAAGTAAACATTTTCACGAATCTCTTATAGAAGAAGAAAAAACACATCAAATCTAAATGTCTAAATATAATAGTCTCTTATTTTTTTTCTACAGATGAATTTGAATATAGTTTGATTCTTTCAACTTAAAAATTAGGAGTAAAACAAAAACGTTTTGATATTACCTAGATAAATTAGGATTATTCAATTTTCAATACTTTTTATGCATTAAAATAAACTGCATTATCTATTTATTATAATCTAAATTGAAAATAAAAGAATCATTTGAAATAGTTGAAAAATTTATAAATTCTTGTTTTGTTTTTAAAAAAAAATAACTTTCAGATAAGTTTTGAGTAAGAGAACAATACAGGAATGAGCTGATAACAAACACAACGAATTTCCAGCTCTTTCTTAGTCAGTTAGAAAACAGCTTCTGTAAATCGATTGATTAAGTTGGAACATTAACATTTTTGGATATTTTTTTCAGTGGTCTAGAGGTTAAGCGTTCAAGTGTGTGACCGAATTTCTTAAGTTTAACTCCTGAGTTCGAGGTCGTAGACGCGAACTGCTAAGGAGTTCCATACTAAGATGAGTTGGCTGTTCAGTCCTTCTGGGTTTTCATTGGTGGTCAAGTTAAGATCAGTCCGTGATTTCAACTGTGAAAATTCAGTGAATACAGTTTATGAAAAAAAAATGTTGTGGAGAGATTAAACATAACTAATGAATTTATCAAAA